AGAAAAGGGGAAAGCATAAAGGAAGGGAATATTGTGCCCAAAACCTAAAGCAACCAAATCACTTTGAAGATTCCATATAAAACATAACAAGAGTATTGAGACTCTGGAAAGAGTGCAGAGAAGAGCAACAAGAGTGATTAGGGGGCTTGGAGGCTAAAACATATGAAGAACGGTTACAGGAATTGGGTATGCCTTTTCTAATGCAAAGAAGGATGAGGGGACACATGGTAGCATCCAAGCCTTCTTGGCTGCAGGATGTTTTTCTACCCTGTGTCCTTTCAGGGTTGAAGACAGGCACAGGCTGATGGGGATGAGTGTGTGTTGTCTGCATCTCCAACTGTAGTGCAAATGGTTCCTGCAGTCTGCAGTGTTTTCTGGAATTCCAGAATCCAGAAAAGATTGCAGGGCTTAAACAAGGGATTATTTTTGATCTCCTCAGGAATATCGGTTGTGGAAAAGCTCCATAGAGGTGCCTACTGTGGGAAAGAGACAACTTTCAAATCATAACTGATTATGCATGAAAAAATCCACACTGGAGAAAAACTACACAATACTCTGACTAGGGCAAAACCTTTGGTAAGAACAGCTCAGTTGTGGTTCATGGAAGGCGCCACACAGGAGAGAAACCCTACGAGTGCTCCCAATGTGGTAAATGCTTTAGTGAGTATGGCAAATTGGTGATACACCAGAGGACACACACAGGACAGAAACTCTTTTAATTTCCTGATTGTGGGGAAACTTTCAGTCAGAATTCCAGCCTGGTCATAGAGCAGATGACTCACACAGGAGGGAAAATGTTTGCATGTCCTGATTGTGGGAAAAGTTTCAGTAACAATTCCAGTTTGGTAACACACCAGAGAACACACACAGGAGAGAAACCATTTGAATGCCTATATGTGGGGAAAGCTTCAGTCAGAAGTCCAGCCCGGTGAACCACCAGTGGGCACATAAGAAGAGAAACCATTTGAATGTGCAAATCGTGGGAAAAATTTCATTAGAAATTCCCACCTCATGAGACACCAGAGGACTCACACAGGAGAGAAACCTTTGAATGTCCTGATTGTGGGAAATGTTTCAGTCAGAATTCCCACCTGATACATCAGAGGACTCACATGGGGGAGAAACCTTTCAAATGTCCAGTGTGTGGACATTACTTCACTCATAAATCATCCCTTATTGCACACAAAGAAATCCATATGAGCCAAAAGTAGATGAGTTTTAAAGAAGGCTTGAGTGTCATTTGTGATCTCCCATTGAAAGTGTAGGTGAGAAATTGCAAACATTTCTCAGGATTAAACTTGTAGGTGGAGAGGAAAGGAAAATGACTAACTGCCTCTTTCTGATTATCAGTAGAAAGTTCCAGATATTTCCTTTTGCCAGAAGTACTGGAATTCATGAAAAAGGCTTTTGCGTGGTGTTTTTGTATATTGATTATGTAATTCCAACATCTAGAATTTCAATCTTCTGTCCTGGTTTCCTCCGGATTTTGAGCCCCAGAATTCCTCAGCCACCATACAAGAGGTCCTCAAGATACAAATGTCATGGCCTTGCAATTACAGTTGCACGTTGCAACGGCTGTTAAGCGATACTGCTTTCCTTAACTACCTGCATTCCCCTGCTCTCCCTTGAGGCAGCCATTAAGTTTAATAATAAATGGATTTAATAATAAGAAGTAATATGAGCCGAGATGGCGCAGCAGTTAGAGTGCAGTACTGCAGGCCACTTTAGCTGACTGTGTTCAGCAGGTCAGTGGTTCAAATCTCACCAGCTCAAGGTTGACTCAGCCTTCCATCCTTCCGAGGTAGGTAAAATGAGGACCCAGATTGTTGGGGGCAATGTAAATATATATATATACATTGCTTACTGGTGTGCACCGCTTAGAGAGTGCTTGCTTGCACTTAAAGTGGTATATAAGTCTCATAAATAAATAAATAATGTAAAGCTCATTTCCCAACTCTTGTTCAGTGATGAGGACTTCACACATAACAGTGGGTTTCTAACACAGTACAATTGTTAACTTGTAATCTATCTCTTGTGCATTCTGCATCTCTATGCCCAATCTATTTTCCTCAGCTTTCCTTCCCTCTTCATTATAAATTTAAAATTTCAGTCCCGCCTCTCTGTGCCTCTGATGATGTGAGCTGAAATTAGGCTTAATTTATTTGTTGCGTTCCTATCTGCCTGAATCTTAAATTCGATGGAAGTATGACATTTTATTAGGCTTGCAGACCGCCGCACCCCCGCAGCTAATTTTCGTTCTGCCTGAAGACCTTAATGGGTCCAAGCCGCCCCAGAGAGGCGGCGAAGAAAGAAGGGTGTGCCGGTGACTCTGGAATGACTGCGGTCGTTCCGTTCGTCTTTGGGAAAGCCTTCTAACCCGACAGGAGAAAGGCTGTATTTCACTGATCAGCCCAAGCTACTTGCAACCGAAGTCCAAAAGAACTAACCAGCACAACAGTAAACAGTGTGTTTGAAACTGGGTGAGGAATCTGATTTTCCCTTTTCCATTCCATACTTAATTTCCTGGAAAAGATCCCCAAGAAGCAAAATACCTCCAAAAGTGAAGGAGGGGGACTTCTGCCCCTCCCTTATACTAATGAAAGTGGCAATTTAAAATTTCCATGGAGGATCAAAATATATGATAGTGAAATAAATTTATAAGCGCGAAATCTAAAATTTAATTTTGGACAAGTTTAAAATTGTTGAATGGTTAAGACTCTCATTTTAAAGACCATTGTTCATATTGAAAACTAAATAGATGCTGACACCTAGTGGTGGATGAAGATTATGACAGTTATGACCTCCATAGAGAACTTGCCAAAATCTGGGAAAAGCTAATCTGTGTTTATGACCTTCAAAGCTTTAATAACAAAGAAAAGCTGTGACAAAAAAAGACAATCTAGGCTGCAGACAAAGAGAGAATTATAAACTTTAGAAAAAAATCTTTTTTGAACTCTTTGGATTACAAATATCTATTTAACTCTAAAGCTATTTGCAAATAAGAAGGAAAACTCCCAACTTTTGGCCATCATGGATCAGAGAAATGTAGATAGAGCACACCAAGAAAACATAAATACCTCTCAGGAGGAGATATATAGTAAACTGCAATTAATTCAAACAACAATGAGTTCAAATCACAAAGAAATTCAAAATAAAATTGAAAATATAAATCAATCTATTTCTAAGTTAACTTTACAACAAAAAACTTTCAGGAAATAACAACAGAGAAGGAGCAGACAAAACAAATAAGTGGACATACAATTGAAAACAGAGACTCAAAGATGGAACTTAACAAAGCAAGAAAACATGATTTAATCCTAGTGGGAAAAAATTCACAAGAAATGGAAAAAACAACTCATCCCTTAAGACTACAAAATAAATCTGAGGACAAAAAAACAGATTGGATAAAATGGAACGTAGAGATGTTGAAAACAGAGAGAAAGGAAGTGAAAAGAGAAGCAGAGAAGAAGAAAAAGATTTTCAAGAAACATAGAAAGGCAAAAGCCTCATATAAAGACACTTTATTCAATTTACTTCTTATACCTACAGCAACAGTCATGAATATATGGGAAAACTTTTTGATTCAGCAAAACACATTGATCAAAAAACATACTGGTCAAAGGAAAAAGATTAAAGTGAAAATTAAGAAAATAGATGATGGGATCTACCAGAGAGAATATTTTAAAAAGAAACATTTGTTTGAATATGATTAAAGAAATAGAAAATATTTTGAACCCATATGTCATTCTAAGAGGGATGAATTCGTTAAATAATACTGTATGCTTTTCCCTCTTTTTTATTTTATTTCTTGATATAAGTAATATAATACTGTTGAAATGGCTTAGATGAAGGAAATGTTTTAGATAATTAAAGGGGTTTGAATTTAGAGAAATTATAATGTATAAAAAAGAAAAAAATGTTTTGAACAAGAGTTAAAGGATTAGATGACTAGACATATTAAATGGAATATTTAAAGATTAAATATATTTTTAATTATGGTTAAAAAGAATAAGAAATTTGGGCAGGGTGAATATATATTAGCAGGAGGAATATATATTTTACTTTTTATGTTTCTTTACTATTGATTTATTGTTTTTACCTATTCTTTAAAAAATGTAAAATTGTGGAGATGGTTTCTATGGGAAAAATGGATTTAAATCTTTAAACGTAATTAACAGTTGAGAAGATCTTAACCAGCAAGAATACTTTGAACTTTACGGGAGAAACAAATTTTAAAAAGGACTGTAACAGGATATAAGATGAGGCAATTAGAATGATTAGATAGAAAAGAAATATTATACTGATGTGATCATTATTTCTAGGAATATTGGGGAAAAGTCATATATGTAACTGTTATTTATCAAAATAATAAGAACTGTATTAATTCAAGGTTTGCAAAGAAGACATTTTGGGGAAAACGGGAATCAACTACATGTACTATGTGGATTAAAGATTATAGAAACCAATTGTTAATGATTTTTCTTTACAAATGGAAACCCAGCAAACACACTGTTTACCAACTGTTAAGTGATTTATGTTTAAAAAAATCAACAAAATATGTGATTTTAAAGAAACTTATTATTCTGTAATTCTGTAAAAACGTCATGAACTTTTAGGGTTCAGCATATGGCTGATCACAAGCTAAGTCGCATCACATTTTATTATTTCACTTGGTTCAGTTGCAAAGGCCGGTTGCTTGAAGTCGAAGACTATAGGATAGCATGCAATAAATGAAAATATCTTGCAAACGTCTTAGGTAGAGATGAGACAAGTTTGTTTTCTGCTCTAGAGGGAGCTGGCGATCAAATAGGTTTTCTCAAAATAGTTTTTTTAAGAAGCGACTGGACAACCACCAATCTGAAATGGTATAGGGCAGGGGTAGGCAACCTTTGCTCTTTTATGCCTCGTGGACTTCAACTCCCAGAATTCCTGAGCGAGCAGGAAGTCCACAAGTCATAAAAGAGCCAAGGTTGCCTACCTCTGGTATAGGGCCTCCTGCTTGAGCAGGGGGTTGGACTAGAAGACCTCCAAGGTCCCTTCCAGCTCTATTCTGATAGATCGAATAGGCAACATCTGTGTCTAGAAAGCGGATACTGCAATTCAGCAAGCAGTCTCTGTGATTGAATTTAAAGGAGTTAAAACCAAAGAGTACTGCACTGCTAGAAAGGATGGGAACAAGAGAAGGGCAAAGGAACTTCCTCTTCTGGATCACTCATGGGAGGAAGGAGGCGGGCGGAGAGGCTTTTGTGCTCTTCCAAGGATCGAAGCAGCAGCTGGGAGGTGAGTTGAAGAGAGCTCGGAGGAGAGGCCGGGAACGAATCGGGCTGTTTGGTTTCCTCCACTGCGTGGAAACAGAGAAGCAATTCGGCTGAAGCATCTCAGCTGCTGCTGCAAATCCTTTCCCTCCCCAACTTTAAGTCCACTGGTGCTGCAGGCTGTTATACCGGGGGCTGCAATTTTCTGCTGGTGGGAAGATTTCAAAAGTTTCATTCAAGTAAAGGTTGATTCTTTGGGAATGGCTTCCCTTCAGAGGTTGTGGGTGCTCCGTCACTGGAGGTTTGTAACAGAGTTGGAAGGAACCTTAGAGGTCTTCTATTTCAACCCCTGCTCAAGCAGGAGACCCTATACCATTTCAGACAAATGGCTGTCCCGTCTCTTTAAAAGCCACCACTGATGGAGCGTCCACAGCTTCTGAAGGCAAACCGTTCCATTGGTTAATTGTTTTCAGGGTCAGGAAATTTTTCCTTAGTTCTAGTTTACTTCTCTCCTTGATTAGTTTCCATCCACTGCTTATCTTTCCTTCTGATGGTTTGGAAAATAAGTTGACCCCCCTCTTCTTGCCCCCGCAAGCATTGGAACATGTCAGCCCTAGTCCTTCCTTTCACTAAACTAGACATACCCAATTCCTGCAGCTATTCTTTATATGTTTTAGCCTCCAGCCCCGTAACCATCCTTACTGCTTTGTCTTTGCTCTTTATAGAATCTCAACACTTTTTATATATTGTGGTGACCAAAATTGGATGCAGTATTCCCAGTATGGTCTTACCATAGCAGTATAAATTGGTGCTAACACTTCACCTGATCTTGATTCTCTACCTCTGTTTAGGCAGCCTAGGATTGCATTGGCTGTTTTGGCCACTGCATAACAGTGTTGGCTCATATCTAAGTGCTTGTCCACTAAAACTTCAAGATGTTATAAAATTCAGTTCGGGCTACTCAAGTGAAGTTTTCCAGTAGTTCTTTTATTCTTGTGTTATTTGGACAAAAAGCAAGGCATTTATGCTTAATTAGTTCCTTTGTGTTTATACATATACTTGTCTAATTTTAAAGTTATTTTACTACAGTAAGTTATTCCCAACAAGCTATTCAGGTTACTATACCCAACAAGGCTACTCAAGTTGCTGTAAGTATTGCTGCCCAACTAGGCTACTCATTCACACATATCCTCTCAACACAGGTGATCAGGCTATGTTAGAGTGGGCTGGAAAACAGATTCAGGGTATCCCCTGCTCCAACTAAGGTGTCTTGAAATTTGGGGTCTGGTTCATCCCAGTGTTCTTTTTATACCCAACTTGTTTACTCAGAATCCATGTGTATGGCAATCTTGCCCCAGCCATGCCAGGAACTTTATATCATCATGACTCCATTAAAAAAAAGTAAAACTCCTACACTCCTTCTGCCCACTAATGTTCTACCTGGTATCACGAACAATAGATCGTTCATACAGGGACCCAGAATCTTTCCTTATTGGTAGTACACACATTCCAGCAACGTGAGTTTCCCCAATGTGAGTTTCCCCAATATGAGCTGAGGTGGTGCAGCAGTTAGAGTGCAGTACTGCAGGCCACTTTAGCTGACTGTGTTCAGCAGGTCAGCGGTTCAAATCTCACCGGCTCAAGGTTGACTCAGCCTTCCATCCTTCCGGGGTAGGTAAAATGAGGACCCAGATTGTTGGGGGCAATGTAAATATATATATACATTGCTTACTGGTGTACACCGCTTAGAGAGTGCTTGCACTTAAAGCGGTATATAAGTCTCATAAATAAAATAAATAAATAAAATAAATAAATGTGATCTCACAAAAAGGCTAACTATGGTTGCATTAAAGGCCCTCTATAATCATAACTTATATTTGTGATATGTTCATAACATATAACATAAAATATGTAACAAAGATCCCTCTCACAGTTATTGCTATTGAGCCATGTTCCACTTATTCTGTACTTTGACATTTGCTTTTTCTTGGCTAAGAGTAAAACATAATTTTTTTTCTCCATTGAATTTTTTTTTTTGAAAAGTTTTATTGATTTTCTAATTTTACATTTAAGTATTTGAAAAGCAATGTGGCGGCTGGGTTAACCAATAATTCAATGACATAGAGATATCTTTAATACAAATCTCAAAATACCACATTAATTTTTTTTTATAACAAGTTTTTATTGGTTTTCCAGTTTTACATTTAAGTATTTGGAAAACAGCCTGGGGATTGAGTAGTCAATAGTACAATAACAAAATTTTTAGTACATAAATTCCTTCTCTATTTCCCTTAACATTTACTGTATCATATTTATGCTAATAAAATTCTTTTCAGTCTTATCACTTTATTTATACAAATGGGTATTTTATGATTCTCCGCAGCTTCTATGACAGATGTTTAGTACATATGAAACTCCATAATGACAGCCACTGAATGGGATTATCTTCAACACATTCTTAGCATTTCACACAACCCACTCAAGTTTTCTGACCTTTGTTGTACACTTTCCTCCCTACAATCAGAGATTTCCAGACCTCAAAACCCATTCTGCAATAAATGTCACCTGTTTAGGGGTTACCTGGCTATGTTAGTTATATTTAAGCTTACATTTAAATAGGAACCCGTGGTATTAAAATTGTACTTTTAAAAAATTGATTTAGAATATATTTTTCTTATAATATTTTATTGGTTTTCCAGTTTTACATTTAAGTATTTGGAAAGCAGTATTTGGAGATTGTGTTTGTCAATAGTTCAATAACAAAATCTTTAGTACATATCTCAGGTTACATCATCAAATATTTCTTCTCTGTTTCCCTTAACATTTGCTATATCATATTTAAGCTAATAAATTTCTAATTGTATCAAAGTCAGTTAAAACTTCATTATCACATTTATCAATACATTTTTTGCTTATACATATCCATATCCTGTTTAAATGTTACCTAGTTTTTAGTTTTTAAGGGTAACTCAATTTTCCTTTGTCTCACTATATAAAAATTATAATATCTAAAATACATATATTACTTACTTAAATATATTTTTATTTTAATTCACAAACATTTTCTATTTCTCATCCTAGTACATCACCACTTAATAGTGGAGTATCCTTTGTTATCTCAAGTCCATCATCTATATTGTCTGGGCTAAGCAATAATTCAAAATTATTTCCTCATAGTTAGTTTTCATTTCCCTTTTAAGTCTAAGTCTTCTCAATATTACACCAATTATTCCCTTATTTTTTATTATTTTCCAGCATTTTTTAAATCTAATAATCAAATTTTCCCTCATCTTAAAATCTCCCTTTAGCCTATTAGTTAAGACTTTAGGATCCTCTCTTATAAATCAAACGACCCCATTTTTTTAAACCTAACTCTAGCTTTCTTTTTATGCCAACCAGGCTTCCATACCAATGCTTTTAGATCATCAGATGGATCTCCCTTCATTCTTGTACATGTTAATGAATGAAAGGAGACCATCTAGTTGTCAATTTTCTGGAAGGATTGGCCCATTTGTAATCATTAAGCTGTTGCCCTAGTGGCTCAGATCCCCATATTTGTTCCAGTATAGTTGTCTTCAATTTGATCTGGTCTTCTTCCTCAGGTTTTTTCTGGTTTAAGTAGAAAGTCATGTACAATTTTGTAGTTGTTATTTGATTGTCTAAGTTTTCAGTAAGCTGTATTTGTTGATCTTCAAAGCCCTCCGTCTTGATATTACTTTCTTCTGTTTCTGTTGTCTTTTGGGTTGTAGAGTCTTCAGTTGCAGTCAGGGTTTCGCTTTGTAGATTTAAGCTGGCATCTTGGTCTTTCAGTCGAAATTTGATTATCTCAGTGACTTGAAGAATTTTTTCAAGTATAAGTTTGTAATCGAGCGACATCTGTTGCTGGTCTTCCTCCATTTCTGACATAGTTATAGATGGTCCTTTAGTAAAGGCTATTTTATTAAACTGAGCGACAAAGAATTGAGGCCTTTGAACTATGGTGCTGGAGAAGACTCCTGTGAGTCCCTTGGACTGCAAGGCATCCAAACTAGTCAGTCCTAGAAGAGATCAACCCCGACTGTTCTTTAGAAGGCCAGATCCTGAAGTTGAAACTCAAATATTTTGGCCACCTAATGAGAAGGAAGGACTCACTGGAGAAGAGCCTAATGTTGGGAAATATTGAGGGCAATAGAAGAATGGGACAACAGAGAATGAGGTGGCTGGATGGAGTCACTGAAGCAGTAGGCATGAGCTTAAATGGACTCCAGAAGATGGTAGAGGACAGGAAGACCTGGAGGAACGTTGTCCATGGGGTCGCAATGGGTCGGACACGACTTCGCAATTAACAACAACAACAACAACAAATTTTATTAAACAAGAGTCAGTAAGTGTTCACCTCCACAGTTCCTAAAAACCAATTTCACTGTCCAGCCTCTCTTTCAGCTTATAATCTCTTTTAGTTGAAAAACACAGTCCAAAGTTCAAGCAATGGGATCTGCGCAAAGCTGGGAAGGTGCACATCAAAAAAAGCAGGTGTTCCCGACAAACACATCTTCACCCAGCATCTGGTTAAATTATCCTTCCCCAGTTGTTCATTTTGAGAATGGGTGGGGCTGCTGCTGAGCTCCTCTGTGCCTCCCATTGCTCTGCTTTCCTCACCTGTGGATCGAGCGGGAGGCACAATTATTGTATTTAAACTTGGACCTTAGTAGTCTTCCATGTGTCAAATGAATCATGATTAATGTAAGAGGTTATTTTAACATTGTGGTATCTTTGCATTTTATTTTAATGTATAGTTTTTTCTTTTTTCATATTTTCTACACCTATTTTATAAATAATTAACATTGCACTTTTCTTTAAATCCTATAGGCAAAGAGGATGGCAATAAGAGCACTCTGGATAACTGAGAATAAGAAGCAACATTGAAAGAAAATTGACCCAGAAATCAAAATATTTTGCATTTCCTTCAGAAAGCCACAATATTCTCCTTTTCCAGCAGCTGATAGGCAAAGGAGAGAAAATTAAGAAAGATTTCAAGCTGGAATAACTAGAGCATATGGAACTCAAGGATGAATTACATGAAAAGTCAAGGGAGATTATTCTTTATTCAGTAAAAGAGGGAAATATCTGGAAGTCACTGGATAGCAAAAAGTCACATGGAGAGCCACCTACGGCAGACAGTGATGCAAGCCGTGCTCTGGGAGGAAAAAAACAGCTTTAATTACAAAACCCATTAAAAAGGGATCACACATGTTTTTGACATCCTCAAGGCTATAAGTGGTGGAGAAGCTCCATAGATGTGCTTGCAAATCACAGCTGATTACGCATGAGAGAACCTATACAGGAGAGAAGCCATAACATTTCTCCAAATGTGGTAAATACTTTATTGAGCACGGCAATGTGGTGAAACATCAGGGGACTGACACCACATATGAATGCCCAGATAATGTGAAAGTTTCATTTAAAATTCCCACGTCATGAGACACCAGAGGACTCACACAGGAGAGAAACAGTTCCAATGTCCTGATTCTGGGAAAAGTTTCATTAAAAATTCTGACCTGCTGAGACCCCAGAGGACTCACACAGGAGAGAAACCCTTTGAATGTCCTGATTGTGGTAAAGGCTTCAATTACAATTCCCACCTGGTAATACACCAGAGGACTCACACAGGAGAGAAACCCTTTGAATGTCCTGATTGTGGTAAAGGCTTCAGTTACAGTTCCAGCCTGGTAATACACCAGAGGACTCACACAGGAGAGAAACCCTTTGAATGTCGTTATTGTGGTAAAGGTTTCAGTATCAATTCCAACCTCGTGAAACACCAGAGGACTCACACAGGAGAGAAACCCTTTGAATGTCCTGATTGTGGTAAAGGTTTCAGTATCAGTTCCAGCCTTGTGACACACCACAGGACTCACACAGGAGAGAAACCCTTTGAATGTCCTGATTGTGGTAAACGTTTCAGTAACAATTCCAGCCTTGGGAAACACCAGAAGACTCACACAGGAGAGAAACCCTTTGAATGTCCTGATTGTGGTAAAGGTTTCAATGACAGTTCCTGCCTTGTGAAACACCAGAGGACTCACACAGGAGAGAAACCCTTTGAATGTTCTTATTGTAGTAAAGGTTTCAGTGACAATTCCAGCCTTGTGAAACACCAGAGGATTCATACAGGAGAAAAACCCTTTGAATGTCTTTATTGTGGTAAAGGTTTCAGTGAGAATTCCAGCCTGGTAACACACCAGAGGACTCACACAGGAGAGAAACCTTTTGAATGTCCTGTTTGTGGTAAAGGTTTCAGCAATAATTCCAGCCTGGTAACACACCAGAGGACTCACACAGGAGAGAAACCCTTTGAATGTCCTCATTGTGGTAAAGGTTTCCGTGACTGTTCCAGCCTTGTGAAACACCAGAGGACTCACACAGGAGAGAAACCCTTTGAATGTCCTTATTGTGGTAAAGGTTTCAGTGAGAGTTCCAGCCTTGTGAAACACCAGAGGACTCACACAGGAGAGAAACCCTTTGAATGTCCTGATTGTGGTAAAGGTTTCAGTGATAATTCCAGCCTTGTGAAACACCAGAGGACTCACACAGGAGAGAAACCCTTTGAATGTCCTGTTTGTGGTAAAGGTTTCAGTGACAATTCCAGCCTTGTGAAACACCAGAGTACTCACACAGAAGAGAAACCCTTTGAATGTCTTTATTGTGGTAAAGGTTTCAGCAAGAATTCCACCTTGGTAACACATCAGAGGACTCACACAGGCGAGAAACCCTTTGAATGTCCATTTTGTGGTAAAGGTTTCAGTAACAGTTCCAGCCTGGTGACACACCAGAGGATTCACACAGGAGAGAAACCCTTTGAATGTTCTGATTGTGGTAAAGGTTTTAGTAAGAATTCCGGCCTGACGAGACACCAGAGGATTCACACAGGAGAGAAACCTTTTGAATGTCCTGTTTGTGGTAAAGGTTTCAGTGACAATTCCGACCTGGTAACACACCAGAGGACCCACACTGGAGAGAAACCCTTTGAATGTCTTTATTGTGGTAAAGGTTTCAGTAAAAATTCCAGCCTGGTAACACATCAGAGGACTCACACAGGAGAGAAACCTTTTGAATGTCCTGTTTGTGGTAAAGGTTTCAGTAACAGTTCCAGCCTGGTGACACACCAGAGGATTCACACAGGAGAGAAACCCTTTGAATGTCCTGTTTGTGGTAAAGGTTTCAGTAACAATTCCAGCCTTGTGAAACACCAGAGGATTCACACAGGAGAGAAACCTTTTGAATGTCCTGTTTGTGGTAAAGGTTTCAGTAATAATTCCGACCTGGTAACACACCAGAGGACTCACACTGGAGAGAAACCCTTTGAATGTCCTTATTGTGGTAAAAGTTTCACTACCAATTCCAGCCTGGTAACACACCAGAGGACTCACACAGCAGAGAAACCCTTTGAATGTCCTTATTGTGGTAAAGGTTTTAATGACAATTCCAGCCTGGTAAAACACCAGAGGACTCACACAGGAGAGAAACCCTTTGAATGTCCTGATTGTGGTAAAGGTTTCAGGACCAATTCCAGCCTGGCGAGACACCAGAGGACTCACACAGGCGAGAAACCCTTTGAATGTCCTGATTGTGGTAAAGGTTTCAGTGACAATTCCAACCTGGTAACACACCAGAGGATTCACACAGGAGAGAAACCCTTTGAATGTCCTGATTGTGGTAAAGGTTTCAGTAAGAATTCCTACCTGGTAACACACCAGAGGATTCACACAGGAGAGAAACCCTTTGAATGTCCTGATTGTGAAAAATATTTCAGTAATAATTCCAGCCTGGTAACACACCAGAGGACTCACACTGGAGAGAAACCCTTTGAATGTTATGATTGTTAAAAATGTTTCAGTACCAATTCCAGTGTGGTGAGACACCAGACAACTCACACTGGAGAAAAACCCTTTGAATTTCCTGACTGGGAAAAGTTTCGTTAGTAATTCTCACCTTGTGAGACACCTAGCACTCACACAGGAGAGAAATCCTTTGAATGTCCTGACTGTGGGAAAACTTTCAGTCACAATTCCAGCCTGGTGAGGAACCAGAGGACTCGCAAAGGAGTAAGGACCTACCCCATTTTGCATTTTAAGAAGACAGAACTCTTGGGATATTTCTTCCAACAGGCGTTTTTATTAAGAGAAGATGGTTGCAGGCGTTCTAGACAGGACCTGTGGCCCAAGCCCTCCCATTCAAGGTTTTAAGTGGTCCCAAGCAGCCCCCCTACCCCACCGTCCTTCAAGCGACAATCCCAGGAGTTACATTTCCATTCCTTTTTTCCTCATGGTCGGCGGAAGGGAGACTTCAGAGAGGAATATATGAAAGGTGATGGGCCCTATTGTTATGGTTAGTCCTTTTGGTGATATCCACATTCAGTCCCTTTGAAGTTGTAACAAAGGAAGTGAGAGCCCTAAAACCCTTTTGCTCATCCCCCTTCCCCTTCGTAGTATGACAGAATCCAGAGAGGGCAGAAATGAGGTTTTCCATAGTTGATAACTAGAGATGAAATATAATTTGATTCTGACATCCTGCCCCCTTAAAAATAAGATAGATCCACCTGAAAAGAAAACAAAACAGGTATAAAAGTTAGTCTGGCTTGTTAGTATACTCTGTGTGAAACTTCTTTAATAGCTTCGGGGCTCTGACATGATGTTTATGGACCCACGCGTTTTGTGAGGCAGGGAGGTGTTTCCATGCAACTAGGTACTGAGTTGCTCCATGATATCTTAGAATCTAGGATTTCCTTTATCTCGAAGTGTTGTTTGCCCTCCACCATGATTGGAGGTGGGGGATTTTTGGCTGTAACAATGACTGATGCTCTCTTTTCAGCAAGCTGCAATGAAAAATTGAGTTTATTTGCCTGAGATTTTTGGGTAAATCTAATTCTACTATTACTGGGTTTATGATACTTTTAATTGGAAAAGGCCCTATATATTTTGGTCCACGTTTTTTACAGGGTTGTAGGCACTTTAGGTATTTTGTAGATAAGTACACCATTTCTCCTATAATAATAGTGTAGGCTCAACCCTTTTTTTTATTGGCTTGTGCTTTGTATGCCTGCCTAGCTTCATCTAGTGCTTTTCTAACTATTGGCCAGGTGTTTTGTAATTTTTCCATCCATTCTTTCAGTGATGGGATCGCCAGTTCATTTGGGATTAGTTCTGGCATGGGGTTGAAGCTTTGACCAGTAGCTATTTGAAAAGGAGTGTAACCTGTGCTGGAGTGGACTGCATTATTGTAGGCAATTTCTGCGAAAGGGAGTAGGTCTGTCCAATCGGACTGCTGGAAACTAAGAAAGCATCTTAAATATTGCTCAAGTACTGAGTTCAATTTTTCCGACTGACCATTTCCTTGTGGATGATGGCTAGATGTCAGTCCCTGAGTGGTCCCTAAGAGGGAGAAAAATTCCTTCCAAAATGCAGATGTAAATTGCAGTCCCCTATCAGAGATGATGCGCTGGAGTGCCCCATACAATCTGTAAATATGCTGGATGAAAAGTTTTGCTAAGGCTTTTGTGGTGGGAATCTTTTGGCAAGGGATAAAGTGCACCTGTTTGGAAAACAAATCCATGACCATCCAGACAACAGTATTCCCATTGCTTTCTGGTAATTCCACTATAATATCTATAGCTATTTCCCTCCAGAGGGCTGAGGGATTTGCCACTGTTTGTCTGGGCGATTTTCCTTGCAACCTCTTTGCAGTTGCACACTTTGGGCAGCTGGGCATGTAACTTTCTATGTCCTTTTTTATGGATGGCCATCAAAATTGCCGTTTAATTAAGTGTAATGTTTTTACAAATCCAAAATGCCCTGCTGATTTTGTGTCGTGGCAAAGCTGCATGAATGTGACTCTTTGGGTTGTTAGTATATATAATTTTTCCCCCACCCAAGGTAGCCCGTCTATCATGGTGCACACGTGTTTATTTTTCTGGAACCATTCATCTGTTTCCAAACTTTTCCAGAATTCAATTCCGGTTGGCTGCCCAGCTGTGGTTTTAATTTAGCTTGGGCTCTGGTGGTTACTGGCACTGCCAGTTGTGATTCTACCATCATTGGTTTAGAGTCGTGGCTTGCGTGCTGTTATATTGGGGCATGCGAGTTAGTGCATCTGCCAGGAAGTTCTTTCCCCCCAGGCAAATGCTAGAGCGTAAATTGGAACTTGTGAAAATGCTGGGACCAGCGGGCTTGCTTGGGGTTGAGCTTCCTGGGTGTTTTTAGGGCTTCCAAATTTTTGTCATCTGTCCACACCTGGAAAGGGATTTTGTTGCCTTCAAAGAACTGGCGACACGTAAGTAATGACCAATGTATCCCGTATGCTTCTTTCTCTCACACGGGCCAACGCTGTTCCATTTCCGTGAGTTTCTTGGATGTATACACATAGAGGTTGAAATACCCCTTCATTGTTTTCTTGTAATAGTAGAGCCCCCACTGTCACATCATTTGCATCCGCCTGTATTACGAAGGGCTTATCCATGTCTGGGTGCCTCAGTACTGGTTCGGCAGAAAAAAGTCTCTTTAATCTCTCAAATGCTGCTTGGCACTCCATTGTCCATGTTAGTGGCTGGCTAGGTTTTATTGAGGATGCTTCCTTTGTTATTAGTAAGTTCGTGAGGGGCAGGGCTATCTGGGCAAATGAGGGGATGAATTGGCGGTAAAAGTTTGCGAAGCCCAGGAAACTTTGAAGTTGCTTTCTTAGGGGTGGTGCCCATTCTAATACTGCTCTGACTTTCTCTGGGTTCATTTCAATGCCCTGTGGGGATATGCAATAACCTAGGTAGTCTATTCTTTCCTGGTGGAATTCGCATTTCAAGAGTTTGGCATATAGGTGGGCGGCTCGCAGTTTCTTTAAAATCATTCTGACTAGGTTGACATGTTCCTCTTTTGATTCGATGAAGATAAGAATGTCGTCTAAGTAAACTAGGACCCCCTTAAATAGGTGCTCCCTTAGAACATCATTGATTAATTGCATAAATACTGCGGGGGGCCTTTGTAATCCAAATGGCAAGACTTTGAATTGGTAGCACCCCATTGGGCAGTTAAATGCAGTCTTCCATTCATCCCCTTCCTTAATTCTCACACGATAGTAAGCTTCCCTTAGGTCTAGTTTAGAAAATTTTTTCCCTTTCGAGAGGTGTGACAGCATATCTTTCATGAGGGCAGAGGGTACAGGTTTATTTATTTATTTATTTATGAGACTTATATACCGCTTTAAGTGCAAGCACTCTCTAAGCGGTGTACACCAGTAAGCAATGTATGTATATATTTACATTGCCCCAACAATCTGGGTCCTCAGTTTACCTACCTCGTAAGGATGGAAGGCTGAGTCAACCTTGAGCCGGTGAGATTTGAACCGCTGACCTGTTGAACACAGTCAGCTAAAGTGGCCTGCAGTACTGCACTCTAACTGCTGCGCCACCTCGGCTCATCTTTGAAAGGTTGCTTTCACTGATTGTATTCAGGGACCTATAATCCACGCATAAGCGTAAAGAGCTGTCCTTCTCTCTAAAGAGGACTGGGGCAGCCACTTTAGGCTTGGCTGGCTCAATGAACCCCCTTTCTAGGTTTTTCTTTATGAATCTTTCCATTTCCTCCTTCTTCTTTGGGCTCATGGAGTATAGCCTGGGCTTCGGGAGTTTTGCCCCAGGCTTGAATTCAATGGCACAGTCTGTGGGTCAGTGGGGGGGAGCTCACCCGCCCTCTCCTCACTGAAAACTTCAGCAAGGTCTCTGTATTCCTCTGGTATTTCTGGTAGTCCCTTTTCCTCTCCCATGGATGCTTTTTCTGTTCTTGATTCTGGTAGCCCCCCTTGGGATTTTAAGTCCATAGGGTCCCCTTTCAGAAATTTGATTTCTGCCATCCTCCAATTCACCCAGGGGTTCCATTTTTTTTAACCATTCCATCCCTAGGATCATCGGGCATTCCATGCCTGGGGTCACTACAAACGTTATGTCTTCCTCATGTTTGCCCAGGGAGAGGTGTATTGGTAAAGTAGCTAGGGTAGCTGGCACCCCCCCCCCCCGCTATGGACCCATCTAACTGGCCAAATGAGATTGGTTGTTCCAGTCTCCTCGATGGAATGCCCAGATTCCCCACTAGTGTTGGGCTAATGAGGCAGCGGGTGCAGCCAGAGTCTATTAAGGCTTTCACCTTCATGGCTTCGGGCATGGGAGGAATTAATATAGTTACTGTCTTGAGGATGGGTGCAATGTGTCCACTTACCAGGGGTTCGCCCTCCGAGCTGTCATCTGCGGCATCCACCGGCCCTACGGTGTAGGCTGGAGTTCTTTCCCCCTGATGAGCAGAGGTGGGAGATTCCTCAGCCTCCATCATTCTCACGGTAGGTTCTTTTGGCTTAGCTGGAGATTTTCCAGATTTGCTGGCCGGTGATCTGTCTGGGTTGTGCTGGGGGGCTTTTGAGCGGCATTCTACAGCCCGATGCCCTTCTCTCCCACACTTGAAACACCCCATTTACTTCTTGGCCATAGCCGATGGTTTCAATGGTTCACGTGTCAACTCAGTCGGTGAGTGGCTCCATTGTTTTCCTCGGCGGTGCCTCTTCAGTATATCGATTTCTGCTTCCTCTGCCAAGATGTACCATTCATCAAGTTGGTGTGGGTCCCCTCGGGGCAGCAAGCGTAATATAGGTCATAATTTAGTCCATCTTCAAAATAGCTAAGGAGGATGTCTTCCGGCCAGAGGACTCACAGGAGAGAAACCCTTTGAATGTACTGATTGTGGGAAAACTTTCAGTCACAATTCCAGCCTGGTGAGGCACCAAAGGACTCGCACAGGAGAGAAACCATACGAGTGTCTAGACTGGGAAAGAGCTCAGTGCTAGGTCTACCTTATACATCATGTGCTTGTACACATGGGAAAAATCATTTAGGTACCCTGAGTGTGGACAATTCCTCTGGAAACATTCCATTCTTACCGCACACAGGAAAATCCGCATGGAGCCCCAAGTGATGAGTGTAGAGAAGGCTTGAATTTCATTTCTAATGTTCCATTGTAAGTCCAGCTGAGAAATTGACTAATTTGAGTACAAAGAATTTGCCAAATTTCTTGTAATCAAATACGTCATGGTATTAGACTGAAAGGAGAAAATTTTAAAAAATGGAACATATTTGTTTGTTAATGGCGGTCTAGCCATCATCAGCAGAAGTTACTGGATATTTACTTTTGCAGAAATTTGTGCAATTCTTTAAAAAATACCTTTTTGGGAGTGTTCTTTGCATTTTTATCATGATAGATGATAGAAATGCCATGTGCAGAGTCCTGGCCCTTTTCTCCAGTACAGGAGATGGAGAATCCACCAGTGGGTTTTCTCTGTCTGCCTGCTCTTGAGACCAAATAGCCAAACTTGACACACCCCCTCTTGTAGGAGATCCAGTCTTAACTTGGTCTCAGCTCTTGAAGACTTATCAGGTTTGGCTTTCAGCAGATAGCAGGTTAGAAATCCATTAGTGAATTCTCCTTTTTCTCTCTAAAATTAACTAATACCCATTTGGAATCCTCCCTTAATTTTTCCCATAGCACTAAGATCAATGT